AGGACACTGATCCAGGCGGAGATCTTATGCAGATGGCACAGATTGAAACAGACACTCCCTGAGGATGATGAGAGAAAGAACACCATCCTTTCCAAGTTTGTCAAAGTGTGGCTGAAGGGAGGAAAAGTGGTGGAGCTAAGAGACGACAGAATGTGCTGGAAAGACTGGCACAACTCGGTAATCAGCTGGAGAAGCCCACTTCAACAAGCTGCGGGCTGCCCGCAGGACCCACAGGCAACATAAGGACATAAACACGAGTCACAAGACAAAAACGGTGGTTGGGATAGCAACTTACAGCCCGTTCCCCGCTCTCCTTGTTTTCTAAAGTTTATTTGGCAGATGCCCGCAGAGGGATCTGAGAGGGATTGCAGGGAAGGCAAGCTGACAGTCAATCCTCCTAGTGGGAGTAATCAATGCTGGTCAGGGTTCCTTCGGCCAAACGGAAGGAAGCGTGAGTGGGTCTATGATGTATTCATTTTTGACTTGCCGGGGGAATAGTAACCGGACTGACGCTCCCCAGAATGGATATGGAGCCAGGACCATAAGGGTCTGTTTGTACTAAAAAAAAAGAAAAAAAAAAAAGAAAAGAAAGAAAAGAAGTTCCACTTTGAGCCCGGAGACATCACAATGCTACGAGGCTGTAGACCTCAAAATTCTACCCAGTAAATAATGGGGCCACTACCCATCTTTGGCTTTTGCCGGAACGGCTGCAGCATCCCATAAAGTTTTCTCCTTTTCCAGCCCGGTAGCGTTCTCACTGCCCACTGTAGCACTCTCAGTGCCTTCGGTATTGTAGCACTTTCACTGCCCGCAGTGGGACCTCTGAGCACCTCTCAATGCAAAGATCCCAAAGAAGCAAGGGTTGACAAGCCAGCTCTTCCACTACACAGCACAGTGGTTACAACCCGAGTTTGCTTTCCTTCCAACTTGACCATAAACAAGTACCTATTCAGGTCTGCTCAGATCGTCGCCCTGACATTCTTAATCCGACAACCGCAAGCACGCCTGAGCTGCGGAGATGGGTTTTCCGTCACACACACCACAGTGGGTATAACTCAAGCTGGCTTCCTTCCTTGCTTGTGCTGCCTGCATCTCAGTAAGGTCCCCAACGCCATCTATAGCATTCTGACTGCCTCCAGTGGCCCCACTGCTGTCAGTGCCACAGGTACCACGGAGCTCTACCCAGATCTGCACCCTGAACCTCTCAGTGCAAGAGCCCCAAAGACTTGAGTTTTCAAAATTTCTTACTCTCCCATAACAAACAATACCTACGAACTGAAATTTCTTAGTGTTCCCAACTTCGGAGGCCAATTCGACCATAAATAATGCGGTAAAATAAAGGCAGAAAAGCAGACATCGTAGAAAGATAAGACAATCAGACTGTATCCAAGTCATCTGCAAACGAATAATCATTACCAAATTTTACACATCGAACTTGGGAGTCAAAGCAAAACACGACAACGCTTGCAGGCGCATACAGCAAGTAGCTCAAATCTCCAAAGTTCCAAGGTTGTCAACTTTGAAGTATGAAAAAGTATCAGAGTCAATACCAAGTAGGTCGGAAATTTCTCGCAATCCAGTAAGTGCAGACAAGAAAACAAAATATCATTTATACCACACAAGTAGGTAGCTCCAGTCTAAAAGAATATCATGGGCACATAGAATACATCAGGTTTAGACGAGAATAGCCTACCAATCAAATCCAAACCATTAAAGATTCAGCAATAAATCACAAATAGGATGTCAAATGCACGGATCTAAACCACAGAATGAAACAAACAGAACCATCGAAAACCCTCCCTTCATTCAACATGAAACCACAGCTCTATCTGGTTTAGTTCGGGAACGGACTATCAGTTCCCCCAATGTGTGTGTGTGTGTGTGTGTGTGTGTGTGTGTGTGTGTGTGTGTGTGTGTGAGAGAGAGAGAGAGAGAGAGAGAGAGAGGCATGCCAGCCTAAACCGGATGTTTGAGGGGCAGTACACAAATAAATGCATCTTTGAGGGGCATAACGATAACTTTCCCGTTCAGAAAATAGTGTTGGACAACAGCATGCAAACGCAAAAACTTGAAAAAAGAGACCAAGTGAGAAATGTCAGTTAATTGGTCTCATTCTTATTGCTTTTCGCATGCTGCTGCTCTCTGTAATCAAGCCCCTCTCTCTCTCTCTCTCTCTCTCTCTCTCTCTCTCTCTCTCTCTCTCTCTCTCTCGGGATGGGAATCTTCCTTGCAGATCTGTACTAGAATCATTTGAGGATCTTTCTCTCTGCAATAACCCATGCTGTATGCCTCGTGGAAAGTCTAAGGGCCGACGTGGCAGCCCTCAGTCCAGGCCAAACGGGGAAAAGACCCCCACACGTGAATTCAGGGCCTGGACGTGAGACAGTTGACTTTTTGTGAACTGTCTGGACCCCTAGGTCAAAGGTACCCAGTCCAGGCCGTCGGTCAAGCACACACACTTGTTTGTATGGAGGTACCCAGACAGAAGCAGGTCCAAGGAGGAAATCTGCAACTGTACGATCCAGGCGCTCAGCAGGGAGTCAATCTGGACGTCCAAGGGGAAGTGACCCAATGCGAGAGAGTCTCGTCAAACACTACTTAAAGACTGGCTTCGAGGTGGTCAACATTCAGTCTTGCTATGCTGCTTTGACTCTGGCTTGACTTTGACTAGACGCTGGCTTCATGCTGGCGTGAAGCTTGCTACATGCTGGCTGTGCACATGCGTCGCGGACGACGGCACGAGGTGGAGGCAGCATGCTGGCGCTTCTTGTTCTGTGCACCAGGCCATGATGATGTGGCGCTGCCTCAGGTCTACATTGCATGATGATGTGGCGCTGCCTCAGGTATGTGGCGCTGCCTATGGTCTACATTGCATGATGATGTGGCGCTGCCTATGGTCTACATTGC